CAAGCCAACAAAGAGCATACGAGCGACATATATGGCTCGTACGCCCAACGTACGCTGATTGTAATCCGGAATCGTGGGTATTGGCTTAGTAGGCGCAATGTGCTCTAGAGTATGCCCAACGTATTTCCCACTCAGCCCTTACTACCTCCAAATTCTTAATCTATTCAGCTTTAACATCCAAAACTTAGATCCAAGATCAAAATAACATTTTAATACATAAAGTTGCAAACTTTATGCTTTTGCATGCATGGATGGGTCTCAAACCATCAATTAAGTCTATTTACTCACTTGGGTGATCACTAAAACTTGAATGGTTGAGTCTTAACCACCAAGATACAATTTTTATGACTCCAAACACTTCCAAGAGTCTAAAAGGACAAATGAAATGGCTTGGAGTAGCTAATACTCCAAGAAACCAAATTATGGGACCAAAAGATGCTAAAATCTGCCCTACCCTACACCTAGATCTAAGCTTGGAATGATCAAGATTCAGTCTTTATACCTTCAATAGGATAGAAATGGTGCACAAGTTATGGATCTATAAGTTCCTTCTTCTCCTTTTCTTGTTCCCAAACTTCCTTCTTCTTCATAACTACCATAAAACACCCAACCAGACAAGGTAAAATAAAAAAATACACTCAAGAAGGCTATGGTTTGAGATTTGCACTAAAAAGGCAATGAAGGATGAAAGGGTAATGTTCTTGAGGGACTTAAGAACTTTAAATAGGATCACTACAAGAAAAATGTGATTTTGCTGCGGAAAGAATCCGTCACGAAAAGCTGAAATTCTGTTGCAAAAGGTGATTTGCTATGGAATTTGCAGCGGCCCATTTCCTTCCCTGAAAACACCGTAGCGAGGGTTTGCAACGGAAATGATACTTCCGTCACAAATGTGACAACGGAATGAAATCCATGGTATTCGGTATTCCATCGTGTATTCCGTAGTAGGATTTCATCACACAATCTGTGGTAGTTATTCCATCACAAATTCTATGGTGGTGATTCCCTAGCAACTTCTGTAGTGATGAATCCCTAGTAAATTCCGTGGTGGTCATTCCCTAGTAAATTTCGTGGTGGTGATTCCTAGCAAATTCCGTAGTTGTAATTCCTAGCAAATTCCATGGTCGTGAATCCCTAGTAAATTCCGTAGTGGTCATTCCCTAGAAAATTCCATGGTGGTGATTCTGTAGCAAATTTCATCGTGTTGAATCCCTAGCAAATTCCATTTGATGACTTACAAGAAATTTTCGTGGTCATGAATCCCTAGCAATTTTCGTGGTGTATATTATATACCAGATTCCATATGGGCCGATAGATAATTCATTTATACATTATATCCAAATTATTTTGTAGTAATATATGAAAAACAAAAATAACAAAAAATCAAAACCATTATATCATAAAATAATACAATAATTATTTATTACATGGAAAAAAGAAAGTTGCTAATCTAAAATAAATACTCTGCAATAAACATATATCAACCTACTACTATTGTTGTTTTGTAAAGACATTAATAAGATCCAATGTCATTTGAAGTTGTTTTTCAAGATGTCCGACCCTTGCGTTGTTTTCTTCTTGTTAGGCGTTCATCATTTCTTTAAGCTCTTCGTTTTGCTGTTTTTTTTTAGCAACAAGCTCCCTCATTTCTTCTATTTCATCATTTTTTTTCCAGAATGTAAGATACATCCGTTTTACCATTCTTATTGGGAACAACCTTTGCAAAAGATCCAAATCCATAAAGTCTTTTTTTTCATGACCACCAACAACAGCATAAAATAGTTTGTCCTCCTCAAATTCGACACCTTCAGCTTCCAAGTCTTCCCGCGTTTCTGTGTAGGCCACCTACAAAATAAAAATAATATAAGTTAAAAGATATCAAATTTATGAATTATAGTGTGGACTAGCTACAATATAAAAGTTTAACACTAAAATGAATTTTACATGAATTTGTCTATCTTTTTCATTTGTGAAAGTGACTCCATCGTGATTCTTCGTGTGCGTATATAAAATGTCAAATATACAAATAAACATATATAAACATTGATACAATGTACCATTAAAAAAATTACCAAATCAGAAGCTATCTTCAAATGACTTGTGGATCCAACGTTATGTGTAGGTTTTGCTACTCCATCAGCCCCACCGTTACGCCTATTTTTCTTGTTCTGCTCAGATTTTAGCTTGTATTTTCCATTTTAATTGCCAAGAGTTCCATACTTCCTATGGAACATGAGCTGGTTAAAATCTATGTTTGATTCATTTTGGGCTCCGAATGTTGAAGAGATATTGACCATAACTTTCTGCCGCTTTCCTTGCCCAATCTTGCCTCACCAATGAGTCTATTTTTTCATCCCAAGAATTTTTTTTCTACACATTAACAATATAAACGTAAGTTTAAGTGTAAATGTTTGCCAAAAAACAATTTATCACATATAGTTAATTACCTGAAGCTCCTCCCAATATAATTCGCGCATTTCTTTTCTTACTTTTCCCCAAGCATACCCTTCTGATCTACTCTTTGTTTAAAGGACTGACTAATAAAGTGTGCACAAGGGCCTGGTAGCATTAGCTTGCAAGTAATCATGTGATGTGTTAAGTTATGAATTGATGTGTACGTGTAAACCAAAAGGTTATACATAGAAAAAGTTGTAATTAAGATTTGATTGGTAACTAACGTTTTTTTTTCCAAACATGAACAGTTAAATGTCCATCTGGTCCACAACCTTCAGAGGAATTTTTTTGACCTTCTACACTTTCCACTACAGATCCAATCATGGTTGGTTGTTTGGTTATGGGGTAGATTCTGGGATAGGTGTTGTTGATGGGGTATATTCGAGGGTAGGTGTTGGGATAGATGTATATGTTGAGGATATGGTAGTTCCTTTTCTTAAGGAGGGTATGGTAGTTACCATAGTTGTGGAGGATGGTAGTGTAGATGTAGGTTTTGAGGTTGTGGTAGTGGATATAGGTGTTGATGATGTGGTAGTGAGTGTCGGTGTTGAGGATGGTTTAGATGATGTAGGTGCTGAAGTTTTGGTTATTGATGTAAGTGTTGAGGATTGTATTATACGTTAATGATTTTGTTATAGGGTTTTGTTGGTAGATGTTATATGTGCTTTGGATGTGGTTGTTGGTATTGGGAAGTCGATTTCTTCATCTTGTAATTGTCCATTTATTAATTTTGCAGCTGAAATCCTGTTGCGTATCATAACCTGTGGTGCAATGAATTTAGTTGGCTTCACACCTGATTCTCCTTTTGCTTTCGAGTTTGATATCTTTCTTGCTTAAGAATTAATGAAAAGTTATAGTCAATACCAATGTATTAAAGATGATAAACTACTGATGAGAAGAGAGAAACAAACAATAAAAAAAATTATATATGAAGGCATTACTACGCATCCAAACTATTGAATACAATCAAAACCAATTTACTTGTAATTTAAGATGATAATATACATGAAGATGATCAAAGAACAAGAAGCGATCATCACGATAACATTACATTAAATAAAAATAAATTTTATATGAGTGACAACCTATATCGCCAAAGTCAGTGCACAAACGTATAATGAACAAAGATTTCGATCAATTAGCCACCGGAGATGATGATTACAGAAAATGTAAACCCTATTTCTAATCAGTAAACTTACCCTAATATGCAGCCTAATCGTTTGTAGGTTGGAAGGAAAGAAATTGTGAAATATTATGAAGCTCCGCTAATGAAAAATTCGAATTGTGCTAATTACCGCTAAATATTTAGTAATTCAAATTTATTAAAGTTGTTCGAGATTGATAGATAGGGTATATACATCTAGCTAACGCCAAGAAAGAACATAGAATAACGAGGTGTTCATAGTATAATTTTAATTTAAAATTATAAACGAGGATTAAACATTAATAAACTATACATCTTTATGCTTTTATGTTTAAACCAAAATTTATATATAAAAGACGTGCGGGTCAAGTTAACATATATAATAGTTGCTTATGGTGTCATGGTATCACCCATGGATGACATATAGGTCATTGTTCAACATGGTGTAGTTGCTTATGGTGTGCATGGATGACATATGGGTCATTGGTCAACATGGTGTAGTTGCTTATGGTGTCCATGGATGACATATGCGTCATTGGTCAACATGGTAGTTTCTTATGCTGTCGATAGATGACATAAGGGTCATTGGTCAACATGATAGTTGGTTATGGTGTCCATGGATGATATATGGGTCATTGGTCAACATGGTAGTTTCTTATGGTGTGATGGTATCACCCATGGATGACATATGGATCATTGGTCAACATTGTAGTTGCTTATGGTGTCCATGGATGACATACGAGTTATTGGTCAACATGGTAGTTGCTTATGGTGTTAGGGTATCACCCATGGATAACATATGGGTCATTATTCAACATTGTAGTTGCTTATGGTGTCCATGGATGACATACAGGTCATTGGTCAAGTGGTAATTGCTTATGGTTTGATAGTATCACCCATGGATGACATGCGTGTCATTGGTTAACATGGTAGTTGCTTATGGTGTCCATGGATGACATATGGGTCATTAGTCAACGTGGTGTAGTTGCTTATGGTGTCCATGGATGACATACATGTCATTGGCCAACATGGTAGTTGCTTATGGTGTCCATGGTTGACATATGGGTCATTGGTCAACATATATCATTTTGACCGGTTGTGTATTAAAATAGAAATTGATTTTTCTTTTAATTATGAATTCTGACAAAACTACCCTTACTAATTAAATATGAGTCATTGTATGTATGAGGATAATTTGGTCATTTTATAATGGAACATCGTCTAGGCGCCATAATGTTTTCCGACAAAACACGTTGTTTCAGTTCTTCACTATTATTTCAGTCACTTGCAAACAACCCCAAATTCAAATTTCTGACAGTAAAAAAAAAACCCTAAAATCATTTTCGTAGAATCGTTATCTTAGTGAAGGTTTATTATTATGGAAGCTAGTACTTCTTCGAAGATGCAATCAAGAAATCAAAGCAGATCGCTAACAGACATGCCCTTGGAAGTGATGGATAAAATAATAGTTGACTTGGGAAAAATTTCAGCAGTTGAGGCTTTGAGGATGAAGAGTGTGTAAGTTTTTTTCTATGATCATTCTATTTCACAATTGTATTTCAGTTGTCTTTATATTTTGGAGTAAATGCTGTGTTTCATTTGCAGTTGCAGATTCTTTAACGAGGTAGGAAGAACGGACGACATATATAAACATATGGAGGTAGATGGATTACGATTTCGTGGTTGGTCTGACCAGAAACATACAGTTGTTAACAAATGCATAGAGATGAGAAACCCGAATATTTTGTTCAGGAATGGATTGGTACGTTGTTATATATATATATATATATATATATATATATATATATATATATATATATATATATATGCATAGTATTAATTAATTTCTTTCTTGTTTGCATTACTTTAACTAGAAATTATGTGTTTAATGTTTTTTTTTTTCAGATGAAGTTATTTTTCTTAGAAGTTGATCATGAAGGGAAAACGATGCTTGAAGAAGCATCTGCATTGGTACATTTGAATTCAACATTTGTCATGGGAATGATGGTGATGGCTAAAGGGAGACATAGGAAGCAGGAAGTTTTGGACATGTTGAATAATGCTTGCCGCAAAGCAAAAGCTAAGTTGACTCTTAGAGCAACTTATTCTAAGGTTCATCTCAACTTAAATAGGGAACGGAAGAAACATGTACACTTCCATGGCTTCCATAGAATTTGTGTAATGCATAAGTATGTAATTAGTGTGTCATACACTTTTGTGAATGGATACAAATGGGTGTTTAGGTGTGAAATTTGTTTGTGGGATGCTTGTGTCGTTAGGTTTTCTAGGAGTTTGGTATAATTTATGAGTAGTTTGTTGATATGTACTTTCATATTATGACAATTAATGCTATGTACATTCTTTTGGTTTAATATACGAATATCTAGTAACTTACTTGATAAGTAAATACTTAATGTTGTTACTTGATTAGTAAATATGTTGTGTTGTTAATAAAGGACTAAAAGAGTAAAAGTTTGGAATGATGTTTGAATGATGTTTGAATAATGTTTGAATAATGTGTTTTGGACTTTCAATATTAGTTTTTATATTGTATTGTGATTATAGTTGTATGTAGCAAATGTTTGTTCTTTCCTAGTATTAAATACATATAAAATACAATTGTAAAGGCATAAACGTACATGTATTTTATTTTGGATTTGGTAATTTGGTTTAATATCAACTAGTGGAGAACCCATGCTTTGCATGGGGTAAAATTGTAAAGACATAAACACATGGACTAAAAGTGGCAACAAAGAAAAAGTATTGTGGCTAAAATCAAAGTAAAAAAGTTACTATAGAGATAGGGACTAAAAGTGGTAACAAAAATAAACTATTGTGTCTAAAATCTAAAGTAAAAAAGTTTACTGTTAAAATTTTGTTCCACTTTTAATATATATATATATATATATATATATATATATATATATATATATATATATATATATATATACATGATTATATACTAGTAATTTGGTGAAATGTTAATATGAATGTATTACATTATGGATTCTGATATATATGTTATTTTTGTCTTTTTCATTTCAACAATCAAAAGTCCACTGTTACCTAGCAATAAAAGGTTATAATATTTGAATAATGTGTTTTGACACAAATACCCTTAGTATTCACATATTTGGAATGATTTCAAGGGCACTTTGATCTTTTTGCACTCTAAATTGTTAAGGAGCCATCATACCTCTGACGTCACGCTTGCGTTTGAATCCTGCAACCATTCAGAGCATCTCAACTTTTACGGACGATAAATCTGCATAAAAACACTAAAACCCCCAAAATTGTCGAAGGATAATCGTTCTTAAAAACGATTTTCTCTAATAATAGAGACTCATGTACTCCTTGCGACCATATCATCATAAAGTAAGGTTTTTTTTATACTCTGTTACATTGTCTTTCATAGTTACACTTAATTTTTTTAAAAAAAAAATTGAAATCGACTACTCCAATGTGTATTTTGTAAGTAGAATGTCGAATACTAGAAGTCACCGTTCGTTAGATGATCTCCCACTAGAGATTTTAAGTCAGATATTTGTAGTATTAGGGGCAGAATCTACGAAAGACATTGTCTCTGCAAGACTTTGATAATTCTCAATAAACATCAACTAATGAATGTATATTTGATGAAATACAACTTTATTTATTTTTTATTTACTCTGTATTTAAATTTTTGAAGTTCAAAGAAGATGTATGAAGCGGGGGGTGATCCGCAAGTGTACAGAACATCATGCATTGACTTGTTTGAAGGAATGGGTCCCAAAAATCGAAAGCTGATTTATTTATACGCACATGTGCATTGCATAATAACATTGAAGCCATGTTCAGACAAGGAATTGTATGTGTAGTTTCAGTAATTATATGTAATCTATACCATTTATTAATATTTAGTGTCATTAATGTTATATATTGATATTGTTATTTTGTCAACAGGATGAGTGCTTTTATTATGGCAATTCTGATTTAGGATTGACTTTGTTGAGACAAGCAGCACATGAAGATCATCTTGAGGCAATTTATTTGCTTGGAATAATCTACATTTCAAGAGGCCTTCATCAATGTGATGAAGGTATGTATATTTGGTATATATGTAAATTAAATTATATATATAGTTAATTAAGGCATGTTTGTAGTTTGGGGTTATTATTTAGTTGTGTTGTGTTGTATAATATTTAATGTTGTATTGAAAAGGATACATTGCATAAATTGCTGGATATTTTAATGTGTAGGTTTACAATTACTTGATGCCTATTTTGGTTTGGCAATTCCGGATGAAGGGGAGTACACGGGTGTTGTTGATGGCGCCAAAGAGTTGTTGCGGGATATTGATGTTGTTCATAGACTTACAACGACTAACATCACATTCCAATGTGAAGACTCACGTCATTCTGTTAAAGGTGCATTTGCAATAGGCCATGAAGAGGATGAGGATCGACAAATATATTTCATGGTTTGTCGTTGGTATGTAGAGTATGGTTGGTTTTGTATATTTCTTAAAAATATAAATGGTTAATAATATATTGGACATTCAATATTATTGTTCATATTGTATTGTATATGAAGTTGTATATTACTATAATTTTATTTTGGTTTTATGTTTACATTATTTTGTTAAAAGTGCATTTTAGTCATTTTTTGTTTGCTATGTTGTTTAAGTAGGATGAAATATACATACAACCCATGTTATTTTTATGATGAATTATAGTTAATGGAATTAAAAATAAGTTTGTAATGAATTCGTTATTAAAATAAATAATCGATATAGATTATATATTTTAACATGCCCAATTTTAAGGGAGTGCAAGAGGTGCAACCGCACAGCCCCCGAAAAAATAGGGTCCAAGTTCTAATAAAATTATATGGTTAATAAGTCATTTTATACTATGTTTTTCAAGAAATTATACACAACTAGCTTAATCACGCCCTTTTCTAGCATAAGCTTAAGTTCGAGTCCGCTTGCTAGCAATATCTACTTTTATAATTCATTTTTACATTTTTAGCTATTAGTTTATGCCACATATTACCAATTCAAAAACATTTCATTCAAACCATATCTTAAAAATTCCATTGATCATAATAATAATTCATCCATAGAATAAGAAAACTAATTAAGCCTACAACATCCCAACAAATGTCATCACAAATTAGCTACACGTTTTGTTCCATAGCAAAACATGCAAACGAAATCATATTCCATAGCAGAATCCCCCAGCAAAATACCTATGAATGATACTTACATAGCAAATCAACTATGGAGTTGGTTTCCATCACAAACTCCGTTGCATAGTAACCACGATAATTAATTTCATAGCAGCAGTACAGCGGAAAGTGATTTCGTAACAAATGTCGTTGGAAAACTGTTACGAATTTTTGTTCCAAAGAACTATCGGTAGCATAATACCAACGGATATGGATTCGGTAGCATTTTCCCTAGCAACTCTCATTCTCGCTACCAGAAATAAAATCCGTAGACAATGTGGTAACAACATTGCTATGGAACAACATTCCATAGCACGATCCATTGAAGATTAACAAAGAAAATACGTTCCATAGCGACCCTCCCTAGCAAAATCGCGTTTTTCTTGTAGTGTGTGCAAACCCTAAAAATTAGGGTTTGCCCTTGGCTTGATTACGCCCAACGTACACATGGCTACGCACGTCGTACGTCGGGGATACCCCGATGATACGTATTCAAGGAGGATGTCGTGCGTACCTAGTGTACGCCCACCGTACTCACAACCTTCCATCACCTTTTACTTGAATTAAACATAGATTAAATAAAAAACTTCATACTTGGCGACTAGCGTGCTACACTTGGTGTGGTAGAATTTTTAAAGGAGTTGTCTTAAAATCTTACTCTCGCTAACTCGGTTCTCAATAGCTTTTCGCTTTATTATTTTCCATTTTATTGGGCTCCTAAAAAGGTTATTAATATTAGAAATGGTATTATAAGGAGGTTTTTGTGGGGAGATGATTAATATAAGAAGAATATAAATAGGCTTGCATCTTAGGAGGTTATAAAACGAAAAGATAAAATAGGTCTTGGTGTTGGGTGTTTCGATTCGACAAATCGGGCCTCGCTTGCCAAATGTTTGTGGTAGTTAAAACTAATTTATGGGAAACCAGTGAGTTAAAAATAGGTTTTGGTGTTGTATATAATTCATTCATAATGTAAAACTAATTTATGGGAAACTAGTGAGTTAAAAAAACAATAAAATATGTGTGGTTATGTATTTCTCAAATTGATATGGATTTGGGTGACAAGGATATTTTGATGTTTGATTTATTCAAAAGGTTTGTGGGTACGGGGGACAATTTTTTGTAAGGATTCTTGGTGTGGTGGAATTGTTTTAAAGGAGTTGTTTCAAAATCTTTCTTGCTAACTCAGTTCTCAATAGCCTTCCGCTTTATTATTTTTCTCTTTCTCGAGCTCCAAAAAAGGTTATTAATATTGGCAATGGTATTAAATGGAAGTTTTGTGGGGAGGCAATGAATATAAGAAAATGATAAATTGGGTTGCATGTTAGGAGGTTATAAAACTAAAAGATAAACTAGGTCATGGTGTCGGGTGTTTTTATTCGATAAATCTGGCCTTGCTCATCAAATGTTAGTGGTAGTTAAAAATGGGCATGATTCATTCGTGTTCACTTGTATAGAGTCCATTCATAATGTAAAGTTAATTTATGGGAAACCGATGACTAAACAAATAATAAAAGGCGTGTTTGCTATGTATTGGTCAAATTGATATGGATTTGGGTGATAATGATATTTCAATGTTTAGTTTCAAAGAAGAACAAGATCTAACCAAACACACAATGGTTATTATTGAGGAAAAACTAAACACAAATAAAACTCAACTAGTTCACGCTTGATATCACAGCTCGATAACTAAGCATGTATTTATATAGAATACAAGACATAACAAACTTGCATCTATTTAGGATCCTAGCATCAATCCTTATCAATATCTAATTTGTCAACCCACAAGACTAGATAACTCCTATTATACCTCATCGTATATAAGCATAATTCAGAAATTTCCAACAATCACATCCGTAATTTCTGAATCTGTATAGTAAAGTCTTCAACACCCAGGAGCCTCCTCATTTCTTCAAATTTAACCCTCGCCGGTGCCTTTGTTAAAATGTCAGCTTTCTGTTCATTACCACACACATGCTCAACCCATATCTCTTTTTCTTCTACCCTTTCACGAATATAATGATATCTAGATTTGATATGCTTGCTCCGTTTGTAAAATACTGGGTTCTTAATTAGTGTAATAGCTGACGTATTGTCTATCTTAAGAGTCACCTCCTTCTCACTTATCCCAAACACTTCTTCTATCAAATCTTTTAACCAAACAGCTTGACAACTTGCGGCTGAAGCAGCCATATACTCGGCTTCACAAGAAGACAATGCCACCGTATCCTATTTCTGTGAACAACAAGTAATGGGTGACTTTCCAAGATAAAATACATATCCTATAGTGCTTCTTCCATCATCTTCATCCGCATTATGAATGCTGCCATTATATCCCATTAACTTTCCATGATTCCCATGTGGATAGAAAATACCATACCCGATAGCTCCTTTCACATACCGTAGTATTTGTTTAACTGCCGCCATATGTGATACTTTCGGTGTTTGCATGTAACGAATAACGATTCTAACTAAGAATTCAAGATCAAGTCTAGTTTGTAATAGATATCTCAGTCTTCCCACCAAACTCCTATACTCGGTAGCATCAACCTCTTTTTCATCTTGTGCTTTTGTGATTTTCTTGTTACAATCCATAGGAATCAATGTAGGATTGCAATTACTCATCCCTGCATCTTTTAGAACTTTCTTTGCATATGCTTCTTGAGTAACAATTACACCCCTCATGCTTTGGTATACTTCAATACCCAAGTAATACCTAAGTATGCCAAGATCTAACATCTCAAACTTGGTTGACATTGCAACTTTAAACCGCTTAATAATATCTACACTTGAACCCGTTACAATCAATTCATCCACACAAACACCTACGACAATAAAATCATCGCCTATTATGTGTTGATACACAGCCCGTTCTTGCACGCAGCGTTTAAATTTCATACCTTTCAGAATACCATCTAACTTAATATTCCATGTTCGGGGAGCCTGTCTTAATCCATATAATGCTTTATCTAACTTGTAAATCATTCTTTCACACCCGGATTTAACAAATCCCTTAGGTAGTTCAACATAGACATCTTCTTGAAGCTCACCATGAAGGAATGCCGATTTTACATCAAGATGATGAATCTCCCATCCTTTTGATGCTGCTAGAACTAACATGATCCTCTTTGTTTCAATGCGAGCCACCGGTGCAAAGACTTCATCAAAATCAACTCCCGCTTGTTGCAAGTATCCTTTTGTGACTAACCTAGCCTTATACTTACTTATTTCCCCACCAGCATCACGTTTGATTTTAAACACCCATTTAAGATCTATCACAGTTAGAGCTGATGGTCTTTTAACGAGTCTCCATGTGTTGTTCTTCATAATGGAATCAATTTCCTCTTCCATTACTTTTACCCACCTAGGATTTTTCACCGCTTCCATAAAACTAGCTAGTTCGTCATCTTTCATTGATAAGAAAAGAAAATGATCTTCCATAAATAGATTGACAACATTATCATCAAACCTTCTTGGTCGTTGAATCTGCCTTGATGAATTCCTTAGTTGTTCATTATTGACCTCATCATCAACCTGTGGCTCGTTGTTGACCTCATCATCGATTTGTGGCTCGTTGTTGACCTCATCATCAACTTGTGGCTCGTTAACTATAATATCAGACTCTCCATGATTAGCATCCTCTTCATGCCGATTCTCATTTAAGTCCCCCATAACAGGGCCTACTCCAGTGTCTACGATCGTTTCCCATTGAACCCAAAACATTCCAGGCCTTAGCTCATCCTTTAGCCCACTATTCCAAGTCCAAGTGGCCTTATCATCAAAGACGACGTCTTGAGATACGATTATTTTTTTGGTAGATGGATCGAATAGTATGTACACATTGCACCCTGGTTCTGACCCAAAGTAGACTAATTTCCTTGATCTATCATCAAGATTTTTTATGTTCGGACCCAATACTTTCGCATATGCTATACAACCAAAAACCCGAAGGTGTTCAATGTTAGGTTTTCGTCCAAAATATCTTTCGAAGGGTGTTGTATCAGACAAGGCTTTTGTGGTAACCTTGTTGATGATATATGATGCATGTCTTACAGCTTCTCCCCAACAATAATTCGGTACCTAAGTTTCCTTCAACAAACTTCGTGTCATCTCAAGAAGGGTGCGATTTCTTCTCTCAACCACCCCGTTATGTCGCGGTGTATATGGTGATGTAAGGTGCCTCATCATACCATGGCTCTCACATAGACTATTAAAATATTGAGATGTAAATTCACCACAACGATCCGTCCTTAGCGTTTTTACCGAATTACCTGTTTCCTTCTCAACTTTAAGCACACATTTTTTAAAGAAAGACAGTGCATCACTCTTTTTCTTTTAATAAATAACTCCACATAAACCTCAAGAAGTCATATATTATAACAAAAATATATCTATTTCCACCCATTGTGGGAGGTGTTATAGGCCCACACAAGTCACCATGAATTAGCTCTAACGATCGTTTTGCCCGAAACTGTCAATTCAATGAAAAAGAACTCCGAGAGTGTTTTCCTACTAAGCAAGATTCACAAACCTTGTTTGACCCGTTGACTTTAGGTAGGCCATTTACCATCTTCTTATTTGCCATCAATGTTAGCGTTCCAAAGTTTATGTGGCCAAGCCTTGCATGCCAAAGCCACTCAACATCATCCAACCTCCCATGCAAGCACACAGGTTTCCCAATAGCAATCTGAGTCTTATACAAACGGTTAACTGACCTCTTCACCTTGAACAACAATGTGGTTGTATTATCATACAAGCATAAGTATTCACCCTTCATGCTAACTTCACAGCCACACTCCGTTACCTACCCTAGGCTGATGATGTTTGTTTTTAAATCGGGAATAAAGTATACATCAGTTAAAAGCTTTTGCCTACCTTCACAATTTTCGAACAATACCAATCCTTTTCCGCAAATCTCAACATAACAATTATCACCAAACCGAACCCTACCACCTATTCGAGTATTTATCTCACTGATGTAAGAACGATTACCACTCATGTGATTGCTTGCTCCATTGCCAAGGTACCAAACGTTATTTTCACTCGTTTGTGAGTATCTAGATGGAATTATTGCAGCCTCGTTTAACAGAGCAGTTTTGAACAGGGTTTCTGTCAAGAATACCGCCAGATCGTGCTCATCAACTTCACCGAGATTAACCTCTTGTTGTTTGACCTTACATTCCGGACAACGATTAGCAAAGTGCCCAAATTTATCACACCTATAACATTGGAATTTTGAGTGATCTTTTGCTTTACTTTTTATCCTTTCATTTTCACCACTGGCTGAACTCGATGATGGGTTTTGTTGGTCAGTTGTCCCGTTATTATTCCTT